ATTTATTAATTGTATTTATTATTGTTACTATTTTTTTAAAAACTTGCTATGGTGAGGGCATATGCTCTCATGAGAGAGAGAGGGAGGGAGAGAGAAAGTGAGTGAGAAAGTAAGGCATCAGGTCTGACTCTTGGACTGCAGTCAGCCATGTGGGAGTCCAGCACCCCAACCACTATGCCACCTGCTGGCCCCAGGTGTCATTTTTAAGTAATTTGTTCATTTAGATTTTCCACCTTTTGGTAGAAAGTTTATAAAACCCTCATATTAAATGTCAGTACGATTTATAGCACTGTCTACTTCGTTATGCTCGTTACTGTTTTTTTCTCTTTGTTCTTCTTGACAAGCATTTATCAATTTTATTAGTCTTTAAAAAGAAGTAATATTTGCCTTTGCTAATCTTGTTTCCTGTTTTCTTTTTCATTAATTACTACTCTTTATTACTTTCTTCCTTCTATTTTCTTTGTGATTAATATATTTTTTTCTAACTCTTTAAGATGGATAATTGGATGATTTTTTTTTCTAGAATAAATATTAAAGCTCTACAGTTCCCTGTAAGTACAGCCTTAGTTCCATGCCAAATGTTTTGCCTTGTACTATATTTGTCATCATTCAAGTGTAAAGATATTTAAATTTGATTTTTATTTCTTCCTTGGCCGAGAAATGTATTGTTTAATTTCCACATATATGAAAGTCTTCTGAGGGCCAGCAGGTGGCATGGTGGTTAAGGTGTTGAACTCTCCTATGGGTTTGAGTCCTGAACCTGACAACTTGTTTTCTCTCTTTCCCTCTCTCTCTCTCTCTCTTGTTCTGGTGAGAATACATGCCCTATAGCAAATTTTAAAAAATAATAATTAGATGGAATAATTATTTAAAAAAATATTGTTCCTGATTTCTAACTTAATTACTGTATGGTCAGACAATACTGACTCAATAATGGCCTATTTGTCTATTGTTCTATATACCATCATTAGATGAAAATGGCTGACTGGTTCAAAGCATTTATATTTTAGTTTTGTTTAAATTGCTCTATTGATTACTTAGAGATGCGTTAAAACCTTCTGTGGTTGCGATTTGTCTATTTCTTCCTGCAGTGTTGGCAGTTTTTCTTTCTTTATTTTGAAGTTATTTTATGTGCTTTGTACATGTTGCAGTTGAGTATTTTCTTGCTGACTTGGCATATTAATCAATAATTGAGTAACCTATTTATCAGTAATAAAATTTTGCCTGACCTATTGACTAATATTGATATAGCTATACTTTTGTTACTTTCTTCATGATGTATGTCCTTACAAATTTCTAAAATTTTGACAGAAGGCTCATGAGCTCACCATAGAGACAGAGAAAGGGAGAGAGAAAGCATCCAATTGGGATGTGGCCATGCTGCTGCAGGCTGCTTCTCCTCTATTTCTCCATCCTGTCAGGATTTGAGGCAGGCATGCACAAGTGCCTGCTGTGTTTTGCAAACTGCCAGGGCTAAGTGCCTCATGTGTTTTTTATGTTGTCAGAACCAGGATTCAGACCATAGTCAGCCAAGTGTAATCTAGTACCCCTAACCAAACAGGCCAAGAACTTGCCCACTCTATTGGGTTTTTAAGTGCAGTCAGTATAGTTTCCCCTTTTGACATTCTTCTTGCTTGCTTTGTTTTCAAATCTTTGTGGTCATTTCTCATTGTCTCTTTCCTTGGTTGTATTTTGAAGCCTTTATTTTATGACCTTAACATAGTAAAAATTATTATTTACCATAGTAGGCTGGATGTTTAGCATCTGAAGTCTTCTACTTTAGATTGTGCTGCGCCTTTTTTTCTACTGGCTCTTGCTCATGGTGCCATGTGTCCTTTCGTGTTTTGCATTCTTAGATTTTTATGTGGGGAACATTCAGCTATCTGGGTTGGTAGTGCATTGTCTCTAGAAAGTATAACTGCTTCAGGTACTTTAGGGTATCACCAGTGTGTGATCCCTTTTTAAATTAATTTTTTGTTGTTGTTTAAGGCCTTTCAAACTATAATATACTGGTCCCTCAAAGTCAGATAATAAATCTCTCTACCTGGTACCAGGGTTGTGACCGTCATGGTTCTTTAAGTCTACTTAGGAAGAGTAGGTTTCCTTCTATCCTTGTCCTTATCTTTATCTAAATATGTAAGCTATTAGAATCTCTCCCTGATGGAGGCCCTAGACTTTACTTTCTGCTCTCATATACCATAAGGTAATAGAAAGAAACTCAAAATCCCAATATTTGCAGAAATTATTAGGGTGAAAATTGGCTTTGGAGTTTAGTTACCTCCCAGGGTTCTTACAGTCAATTTTATTTTTACCATCTTGCTTTCTTATTTTCATGTCAACCTATGAAAAGGCTTTTTCTTTCATGGTTTTCAAAGTTATTTTTTGTTTTACATCTTGTTAAAGGCAAGATGGGATTCCTAGAAAGGACATTATGATATACATTTATTTAAAAATAGTAATTCTGTGCTTTTTTCCAAAGTTTATTATCTTAAAAATGTACCTAGCATAATTAGATATCTTTTCATATTTATGTCACTTTGTGCATTGAGAAAAATGAGGGTAGCCGACACTTACTGAATAATTATAATATACCTGGTTTTGTTGTAAATGCTTTATTAGCCCATGAGTCCTTGGAGCATCTGTAGCATAGATGCCCTTGCTACTCACATTTTACAGATGGGAAAACTATCAGAGAAGCTGAATAAATCGTTTATGGTCACACAGCTAATGAAAGTTGGACAAGACTTCTTTTAGGATTGTAAATGACAAGGCTAATAATAATCTGTGAAAGTGGAAAAAGGGTGGGTGTATCTCCACTTGGCTGCAGACTTATATGTAGACCTGCCACTCATTTTGTCTCCACTTTAAAAATCATGAAAAAGGGTAGGATTGAGGCCCAGCAGATGGTATAGCGGTTACGTCGCAGGACTCCCACATGGCCAGCCATGGTTTGAATCCCAGGCCGGGTGGATTGAAAGTCACACTGGGCACATGTATGTGCATGCCCAAAATCCCGAGAGGAAATGGAGAACGAGCTGTGGCATAGCCACCGCCCCCCAGGAAGGGGGGTAGAGATGATTTCTCATTTTCCCTTTCTCTTTCTTTGGTGAGTACATGCACCCTAAGGCAAAAACCTCTTTAAAAAATAATAATAGTAATAATAAATAAAAAGGTAGGTTTAATATTTGTTTTCCTTTAGTCTCAACTTGTATATCTGATATTCTTTTATTATAAATGTGATATGTATCCATTATTGAAATAATGAGACACAGCCAATGAATATTATGGGACCTCTTTTCTCCCAGTTACCCCCTTCATATTAATTTCTCATCAGCAGTTTGGAAGATAGCCTTCAGGTGGGTTCCCCCCTAACCCCCCGTTTTAAAACTTGTACTTGCAATGTTTGTTCATGTATAAATTTAGTAATAATTATCTGTGCATGTCTATTAGGCTACTGGAAAAGTCATGATGTATTTTTTCTAAGCAATAATGCATCCTGACTTTATAGAAAACCAAACACATGCACACACAAAGGTTTTGTTACTGTAATTTATATTTTTATATATTGTAGCTTTCAAGCTGCATGTCAGAGAGGATATTTGTATAGGTGTTCTTTTTTGTATTCTTCTACAGAAACCTTTTTGGGGGGGCATGGCTATAGAGTATGTGTGCTTGATGGAAGGAAACAGGGAAAATTACTCCCTGTGGGGATGGCCACCCCGCCACCCCTTCTCTTACATTCTCTTCTCAGGAGTTTGGGTGCACACACACATGTACGCCTGGTGTGTTTTTAAAGCCCCTAGGTTAGGGACACACAGCCTGGTCTTGTTGTATGTAACACACATGACCAAGAACTAATTTCTTGAGTATCCAAAGAGATATCTTAAATCACTGTAGAGAAAGTTAAGTAAATAGTTTGAGAGAAAACTGACAAATAGTAACTTGGTTCCTTTTGGGGGTTATTAAAATGTGCCAGAGACTGAGATAACCACTTACATCCAGGTCTCAGTTTAATTCTAGCAAAATCTATGACGTAAGTATTCTATTTTTGCCATTTTGCAGAGAGGAAATAATGGTTCCGATTGATTGAAATGAATTTCCCAAAATTGATCAGCTTATTAGAGAGAGTCTGGACTCAAACCCTAAACTTGTTAGTTTATAAATTAATTGTTGTAAACACTTTCCTAAATCGTGGCCCTAAGCAGGGAAATAAGTTGGAAATCACCGAGAAACAAAATAACTAACAAGCATATTAAAAGGTGTTTATATCTGCTTATCTTTTATTTATTTATTTTGGATATTTTTGCTATAGAGCATGAGCACTCACTGGAAAGGCAGAGACAGAAAATGAGAATTCATCTCCCTGGGGAGGTAGCCATGCTACAATCCCGTTTCCTCCATTCTCCTCTCAGGATTTGGGGCATGCACACACTTGTGCTCAGTGGGAGTTTCAAGCTGCTGGGTCCAGGGCTCAAACTGGGGTTGACCATGTAGGAGTCCTGGTGACAACACTGCAATTTTTAATTACTTTTTAGAGCCATAAGTCTTCCTTGATGTATGACTGGTTCCAGGAAGTCACCAACACTCTGACATGGTGAGTGGAGATTGGTGTGTGACCATGTCCTCAAGAACATTTTTCTAGTACCTAGATTTGTAAAGAAATGTTTCAGTAGTTTGTTTTTAGTTTTTGTTATAGGGTGTGTACACTCACCCTAGAGAGGGAGGGAAAGTGAGAAATCACTTTTCAGAGCAGTTCTTTCTCCTCCACTGTCCTCTCAGGACTTTGGGCATGCACACGTGTCTGGTATAATTTTCAAGCTGCTGGGTCTGGGATTCGTATAGCAGAGTCAGCTATGTGAGATCTAGTGCCTTAACCACCACACTAACTGTTGGCCCTCCATTTTTATTAATTAATCTGTGCCCATGAAATGCACATGGTAAAGGTTCTGTGGTGGGTGTTGAGCACGAAGGAAATGACATTTCTGTGCTTTTGTCCACAGCACGTTTAACTGGACGGTCCCATTCCTCTCCTCCCTGGCCTGTTTGATTCTGGCAGTAGCCACCGTCGCTTTGTATTTCATTCCACTGCGGTACATCGTTTTAATATGGGGTAAGTTTGGCAGACTCCTTTGGTTAGCAGTCAACTCCAGGTAAGAACCTATTAGTCATTTCTCAAGTTCAACTGTAAACTTTAAGCGTGCTCTTGTGGACGGTTAAACACTAGATAAAGGAAAGCATTTTGGGTTATGAACCACTTCCAGGACCTCCCTGAGAAGGCCAATCACATGAATGGTCAGCGTGGATATTTATAGGCCTCTTGCATAATTGCGATCAAATAAAAATGTAATTGTGCATTTCCCTTTAGTGGCTTTAAAAAAAAAAAAAAAAGTAGGAACAGAAATAACAAACTTGAAGTACAGCCCGTGATGTGATTTGATATTCAGACTGGCAGTTTCAGTAGTTTGTTTGTTTTTAGTTTTTGTTATAGGGTGTGTGCACTCACCCTAGAGAGGGAGGGAAAGTGAGAAATCACTTTTCAGAGCAAATGGCTATGGTGCAGGCAGACTTGGCCATCCCAAGATGGGGAAAGTTCTGGGAAAAATCGAGTCCACGCCTGGGTTCGGAGGAGGGTCGGTCTTACGAGTCCACCGGAGGGAGGAGGGAAGAGGAGGAGGAATAATAATTAGATAATTAGATTTTATCTCTTGATGTGTCTACTTTCAGAAGGCAAATGTGTGTATGTGTGTATAGATACACTTTTTAAATTTGCCACAGGGCACATGTGGGCACAATGTGCCCCTGTGCTTCCTTGAGGAAGGACATTCCTCATGGGGAATGGTCAACACTGCGATCCCTCCTCCTCCGTTTCACCCTTTGAGATTGTGGTCATCATGTACACATCTACCTTGCATCTTTTTTCTGTTCCATTTCAGAGGCTTTCCCTGCTTCAATGCTGCTATTCATAAATGGTTTCATTATACTTCTCCAGTTCTGGTCTTAGTCCTGTCTGTTTTTGAGCTGTCTAGGTGAAAATTAGAGGTTTTTTTCCTTCTCTTATTTTCAATTGCTAGAGGAGAGGCCCCCCCCACACTGACCCCATTAAAGTATGACCACACCACAATATTTTTTCCTCCTACCATGATTTGGGGCCTACATGCACACACCCCCAGCTTATTTTTCAGGGCACCAGGGCCATATTTGAACCATAGCTAGTTGACTCCTTTAACCACAGGGCTATGAGGCCATTGACCTTTTCGTAAGAAAGAGCTGATTTATTTACCTTTGTATTTTCATTTGGTAACACAGTATCACTTACAAAGAAGACACATAGGGCTTGCTAGACAACAGCAAAGGACCCTACGTCCTGCCCCAACCAAGGCATTACAATGGGAGCTGCATGCCAGTCAGCCCAAGTGGGTACCTGAACATAGGCCTCTGCTTTGAATGGTTCTTTTCAAGTGGTCAAATGTGCAAATCAGCCATGCCCTGCAGTTTTTCCTCTACCTCAACTGTCCCCAAGTCATGTTTTGGCTTTTCACAGGAGGTCTCATTCTCCTCTGTTCATCTATTCAATCTAAGTTAATGATCCCATCTTTTGCCCAATGTGACCACTTGGTAGGTAGGTGTCTCTCAAAATAAATAAAGTACATGGAACCTATGTATTGTTTAGAAAAAAACCCACAAAATTGAGGTCTCATATACCTATGGGAAAAAGCCGTAACTTCCAAATTTGGAGTCTATAAGTATATGCATCATAGTAGAAAGACACTGTGTTACTCCTTTGTCAGCTTATTGGCATCTACAGTGATGAAAGTTGCCCTCCACGTTGTTATGCAGTTTCACATTACAGCATTCTTCTGCCTGTAGTGTCTAATTCTCTTCTCAACCCACGTCTTCATTATTCAGTTTTCATGAAAGAAATCTGAGCTCTAGGGAGATTAAGCCATTTTCCTGCAATCATACAGTTAATGATGAAGCCCGAGTGGGAGTTCAGGTGTTCCTGCACGATAACTCTTGTTATCTTGGTCCATTGTCCCTTAAAGGTGACCAAGGAGTCTGATCTCCTGGTGACCCTTGGTGTCACCTGATGGGTAATATGGCAGCATTACTGGAACATTTGAGGCTGAGACACCTTAAAAAATAAGGGGTGCTTTTGAAGCACACCATCCGTGCTAGGGCCTTGTACTTTCCTTTCTACGAGTTTCAAACACAGACCGTCTCCGTGCATTGTGGACTACTTCTGCCCTTACTGGTGCATCAGAAAGACGGCGCAGGTTTATAATCTTCTCGGTGACTAAGAGCGCAGTGTTTTGATCAGCTCTGATATTATCTCTGCCTTGCTCTTCAGCGTAAAGAGTCCAGATGCGTGCACACTATGTAATTTACAATAGAAGATACATCTTTGCTCAATAGGTCTTTGTCTCCCTTCATCATTTGCCTTGTCTGTTTGCTTTTGCCAAAAAGCCCATGCTACAATTAAATGTCTTTAGAATAACACAGTGAGGGTACTTTAAAGGAACGCTAAGGGAAATTTTATCTGGAAACATGAAGCTCGCTGTAGGGGTAGAGGGAAGAAAGGCAGAGTGCTGCTTTGACTTAAGGGAAAAAGGATGGTTTGCTCGGGGCCTTCCCCAGCCCAACCACCAGCCACCATTTACTCACGCACAATGGCTGCCTCCCATTTGCAAAGCAGATGTAAATCTGACCCTCCGGAGAAATGACTGGTGGTTGGCATTGTGTCAGGTATAATGCCACGCGGGACGTCCAGTCCTGCGATGAAAGCCAAGTATTATTTAATGAACGAAGGAAGGGGAAAAAAAAAACATCAAACCTTTTCTGTGCCGGGGACTGGTGAACAGTTAAATGTTACCTTGGTTTCTGAGTGGGAGCCATTCAGTGTGCAGCAAAGCTAAGAATTCATTCAGCATCATTGGGACTGACAAGCCTTCAGATATGATCCTTGTTAAACAAGCACCCTGTGGCAAATCCTCAGAAGGCCACCTAGTCTTTCTGTTTCTAAAACTCAACATTTTAAAAAAGGAGGGGAGGGGTTGACGTTTGGTGAAAAGACTACAACTTATGAGCTCTGGACATAGGCAAAACAGCTGTGAGGAGCAGAACAGAAGACAAAGGGTAGGTGAGATGAAAGAGGGGCTCCCCTCTAAAGAGGAAACAATCAGTGGGGTGTGCTCTGGAGATGCCCCGGAGCCCAGAGAGTAGCCACCGAAGAGGGGTGTTCTGCAGTAGGTTGGCATCTTACACACTGGCCACCCTTTGGTTACCATTGTTCCTGTGCTAAATTGGCATCTACGCCATTGCCCAGATGAAGCGCACTGTCGGTGTTGCAGTCCATAAATTAAGTTAGCAGTCATAGGAAGATAATTTTCCAATAATAACTTTTCACAGTTTCCTGCAGCAAAGTACAATCAACATGTCAAGTTCTGTTCTGCAGCAGGAGAAGAGAAACCTGTGAAAATGAGTTGAAGGTGGGGAGAGAGCGAGCTGTGGTTTCTTTGCAGCAGCCTGGTCCAACTCCCGCCCTCCCTTCCTGCTGCCCCGTTTGGGCTGGAGCCTCCAAGCAGGGACTTGTTTGGGCTGAGGAAGGCCTTTTCCCATCTGGGACATTTGTTTTCAGAGCAGAGGCGACCGTTAATCAGCATTACTCCCCAAAAAGCCAATGAGCTCCCCAGTTTGAGCATGTTTCTGCCTCCCCGCTGCTGGGATTGTAATGGGATTTTCACAGCTGAAGACTCTTCCGCTGTCCCCCCTTCCCTCCTTCAGGAACAGGCATTTGTGAATGATTCCACACGACAGCAACATGGGTACGACTTGAGGTCTCGTAATTCTTTTCACACTAATTTGGACTTGTGAATGTTCCCCCTTCCCCCAGTGAGGCATGTTTTTGAAGACGGATGGATGGATAGGCAGACAGATGGATGGAAAAATAAATCTCTGTGTTTCTGTTTTTCAGGCATAAATAAATTCACGAAGAAGCTTCGAAATCCTTACTCCATCGACAATAACGAGCTACTGGACTTTCTCTGCAGGGTACCGTCTGATGTTCAGAAGGTAATGTCATGGATGGTTGCCACCACTAGGGGGCCCACCGCCAACGCCTGGCCAGCCATGGAGCTGGAGAAGCCCAAAGCCATGCTGGTGAGGGTGATTGCGATAACGAATCAGAAAATCCTTAAAAAGGCCTGACGTGCAGGGAGGTGGCAAGAGAGCTTTTGTCCAAAGCGTGAGATGATTGGGGAAAAATTATCCTGAAAAAGCCTTCCTTAAGAACGGTCTGGCACTCACACTGTGCAACTCCCGTGCACGGGTGTTTGTCCCATTTTTCATTGCTTGCCTCCTGAAGAGGATAAGATGGGCTCTGTGAGAGGGATTTCGTGAGCTCCGAAGCTGGGAGCGTTAACTTATTTCTTCCTCTTCTGGGTGGCTGGCGTTTTAGGGGAAGTCGGGGGACAAGAGGATTATTTTCTTCATTCTTGTCTACCCTGATTATCTCCCATACCTGCCTTCTCTCCCTTTCCCTCTGGGGTGAAGTTCCAACGCCCCCTAATACATATAGAAGCAGAGACGGCATGCCGTAGTTTGAGATCAATCAGAAGTATTATTCTCAGGTAATGGTCACTTAGTCCGGCAGCGTCCCGTTTCTGTGGATACACAAAGATTAACAAAGGCGACAATACCACCAAGCCCCATAGAGCGGCCCGAACTAGGCCCCTGCAGCTCAGGCTGCTATAAACCAGAGGCAGGAGGCCAGGCAGCATTTTCTCCAAAAGAGAAGAGAGATCATCCCATAGGCTGATGGAGAGTCCGTGGCAGGAAACTTTAAGACGATCAGAGATACAATCCTTTAGTATCTGAAAGAATTCCAAATCAGGTATCGATTTTCATCTTTGGGTCACTGTCTCATAATTGGTTACCTGGCAGCACCAGGTGGGTTTCAGAGACGTAGGGCTCGAAGGTTTCTTTCTCCTTCCTTCAAAGCCTGTGGAGATGAGAATGGAGTCTATGATGCTATTTTTCTCTAACCTTCTTTTTATGATCTACTTAGCTGTTAAAATCCATTTCTGTAAAGATGCATTTACTTTTTTACATTCGCATGACATCAGTTTCAAATTACAACCCTGTTCCTCTAGCACTGAAGCTTGACAGGTATGTTATCCTTTGCTCCCCAAGGGGAACCTTTTGTTTTTGAATACCTGCCTTTGACAGACAGACTTGCACAGTACAGTCTAAATTATGTGATGGGGCATGATCTCCTTGGGGAGTTTAGCACAAGTCCTAGAAGTAAGGAGTGCATGCAGTCTATAATACAATATTGGGGGGGAAAAACACATTGGGGCCAGCAGGTGACATGACGTTAAAGTGCTGGATCCCACGTGTAGAGTTCCAGTCTCAGACTTGGTGCCTGGTGACTCTCAAATCACGCTGGGCACGTGTGTGTGCCTTCCCAAAAACCCAAGAGAGACTGCAGAGTGGCATCTCCTCTGGGGCAGTGGGGGGAGTGTGATTTTCTTACTTTCCCACTCTCTCTGGTGAGTGCGCACACACACAAAACACACAACTACCATTAGTTTATCAACACCCACATACCAGAGCAGGTTTGCAATGTGAGTTCATGCTGTATCCCTGCAGCATAGACATTCCCATCAAGCCCCCAAGAGTTGTCCAGGCACCAGGGCTCAGAGTGGTCATTCACTTAGAGTTGGCCTGAGCACAGAGAGAGACAATAAAAAAGGCACTGGGGGGAGACACAGAATAAGATCCTCCACCTGGCACCGAGAGTGCTAATAACACAGTGACAGTTTGCCATGGGGGACTCCCCCAGAGCTCAGATTTATCTCAGATGTTTTAGCCATTCCATTGTAAATGAAATGAATTTTTAGGAGAAATCTATATAAGTCTGGGACCCAGTATCAATTTTAGCATTCCCCCCCTCAGGCAAAAA